CTGGTGCTGCTGCTACTACTGCTGCTACTTCCACTTCTAGTCCTACTCCTGCCGCTACTGCTCCTGTCCTGCCACAAGCACTGCTGTGACTGGGACTGCTCCGGCTTCTGCTGCCGCAGCACTATCCCTTCAATCCTTGCCCCTGTTTTTCCCACCGCCCTTGATGAGCAGAGCCTGTCCTCATTATTGGCCTTGCGTGGGGAGGGGAAGGTAGTGAGTGACCAAAACCCTCACGTTCGTACTTGATCTCGGGCTCGCACCATCATGGTCAGAAACAGCAATGAGCTTGGAGCCAGTCCACGCAAGCCAAACGCAGCCGCGTTCAGCATGTTCGTCGCTGTCGTGAATCCTGCAAAGAAGCTGCCGCGAACTGGCAGGGCCGGGCGCTCAAAAGTGACACCTACAACACGGCCACCCCACGGAGACTACGAAGTCATGTCTAACCCTGTGAAATGGCTCGACAAGTGAGCTTTTGATGTGTCGTTTGGCGACGACGGGGTTCATGCTCAACCATGTATAAACTTGAAAGCCTTCTGAATTATGGGAGAAGGGTGGCAGCAACGACAAACCGGCAACTACGTTCCGAGAGACCAAATGAATTTGGGCATCCTGTCATAAGGTCAGCTTCAAGAACCGAGGCTCCCAACAAGTGCTCTTGGCGCACGCTTCTGCTTTACAACCGCTTGTGACGCCGCACACCGACTAGTTCGGCAAGCCAAGACTCAAGACGTGAAGATCCAAGCCAGTCCTATACGTAAGGATCCTGAAACTACCGTCTCGGAGGAACTTGGAACTTCCGTTTGTGCGACGCTGGGCTCCGAAAGATCGATCTCGAGCCACAGAGCCAAGACACAATACTTATGGACCAAAAACTTGCAAATCTGGCGGGCTGTCCTCTGGCGCTTAGATTTTTCAGCATCCAGGGTGTGGCTGATGCACCAGTGGCCCTTGGAAAGGCGGCCATTACAATCTGCGCGGTAATTCGGACTCATGTATCAGGATTGGGCCGCTGGCGTGCACAGTAAACCGTACCTGATCCACATGCTGGAAGATCAACAGAAAAAGTGGTGCTAGGGACACCGAGGCCGTAAGTTGCCAGCCCAACGATGAAGTTTCGCACCTGACATAGTGCTGACAAAGCCCATTTGTCTCTTTCGAGCATCCGTCGAAGATTCGTACAGCTACTTGGCCGAGACAGCTGAAGTCGCCTGCATTACGGACCATTTGAGATGGTCCCGAATCCAAGTCTGCACGGGAGATGAATGCCAATTCCATGACTGCAGCCAAACGAAGCCCGTTCTGCGCGAGTGGCCTGGATGACATCGCTGAGATTCTTGCCCTCAAGGAACCTCTCCCAAAGCGTTCCAAGTGGAAAGTATCAAACAGCGAGTCGTGCACCACAGCTACTGTAGTAATATTCTGCTGCATCATTCCCTTCGACAGTCGGCAGGGAGCCTAGTTTGCTCGAGTATCGAACGTAAGGCTGCAAGGCAAGCCCGCGGATTCTTCCGACATATTGCAGCTGGTGAAAGTTGGTCTCAATGTACCATCCAGGGTTCCGAAATCATCACATGTGGCCAGCACTTGTCCGTCCAGCAGCCAGACTGCCGCGTAGCAACGTCAAACACTATAGGGTGACCCTATCAAAAATACCGTGGTGCGCTCATGCTCGATGTGTTCTAAAAGAGGCCGAGGTTTGGCAAAGAAGCATGTGCATACTGCACACTGTTGCAGTCCGGCTCAAGGCAGCCCGCGCGAGCACTGGTACTTCGTTTATCGTATCGTGGTCGGCCCAAACGTCCTCGCTGCAGCAGACTACTAGGCTTGCCGGAGCAGATATCACGCTGCCAAGCTGCGAGAGTCGTATTCTGAGAGAACGGAACAGCTTCACAAAACGTGATGGCATCATTCTGCTACACCGGCAATTACAGGGATGGCAGGCGAGTTGGACACACGATGTCAGAACAGGGACGGGGCCAGTTGGCCGCAAGGAGCATCTAAACCCAAAGCCTAGACAGTCCAACTTGCACTCAACCAAATTACTGTGCTACACGAACCACTGTCCTTGTCTTAATAAGCACCGACCTGCTCTTGGGGTGAGCGGGGGGTAGTGCCGAGTTCCGTTCTTACCCTTGCCCTCTACGCCCTCCATCCCGACCTCCCCACCCCTTCCAAGGTTGAACCCCGTCCCGTTCCACTACCAACAGGTGCATGCTGTTGAAAATGCTGTCTTGCTTCCCCTACCCCCCATCCATCCTTCTAAACCCCCCTGAATTACCCTCTCCCCACCGCCCTCGCCCCCCCTTTGAGTGCAAGGTCGCCTGTCGCTTTTTGCTCCGTTCCTATCACCAGCAGATGATGCATTGGACACTCATGAGCCGAAGGATATATCTCAGGCACTTGTGATGCAGTCCCTCCATAAATGTTCCAGTGCAACATGTTCAGAAGCAGCAACAGCGGACAAAGTTGTGCGCAGTTGGCTGCGTGCTTTCATTTGTTGTGGCTGTCTTGATCAGTTCGTGCTAGCCCACACTCTGTGTATAGTTGGTTGCACTTTGCTCTTGCCGGTTCCCCAACCCTTTGGGAGGTCGGTGGCGGCGCTGTGCTGCTACATCGGGCAGCGCACGGCGGAGCCCAGCGGATTTTGCAATGAATCTGGCTGGACTCGGCTGTAGCCATTCGCCGACATCATCGACAGCCCTCCAGCACAGGCTCAAGCTGCACAAGACCCGAGACCCGTCCAAGCATGTACGAGTATGAAGAGAAAGGGTCATCATCTCAATAACATGATACTCCACTCGGTGGATGGAGGAAATCTTGCACTGCCTACTTAACCCACGGAATGTGAACCATCACCCAACTACCCCAGGCACCCCTTTTAACGTTGTTGCTTGTCTTGACGGGGTAGTGCAAGATTTATGTCATTGGCACAAATCCGAAAAAAACTGTTATTTCATGGCAACACTGAAAAGGGGGCCAGAGCGAGACGTCTTTGTTTGTTGTGTTCGAAGTGCTGCAAGATTCCTCCATCCACAGTTCCTCACCGAATGTGCATGGGGTGAGCTGCAGAGGGCAGCATCATGAGCATCAGCAATATCGCAGCCGCCCCAGACACCAACGCGACGGCCACAAGTATGGTGGGTCATCGTTTCTCTAGCAGGGCTCGCGGTGGAGCAGCGCATCAGATGATCAGGAACATCGCACCCGCCCCGAACACCAACACGAGGCCCGAAATATGGTGGCTCACGCTTTTGTGGAGGGCGCGAAACCACGAGGTGAAGGGGGTCGGAGGGTGGGGGATTGCTTGATTCAGTTCATTTCAACGCGTCACGTGGTGATGCACAGTATGGAGCTTGCAAGCCTTGCTTTAGACCCTTCCATCGGGTTTAGGGATGTCTAGGGCTGCTCCTGGCCACTGCCTGCACAGCCCGCCTGTGGACGAAGCAAAGCTCGAAGCGGTTGCAACCCACTCGACTAGCATCCGAAGTTATAGCTGCTGAACCACGACGAGGATGGAGCATTTGCAGGGTTGTGATGGCCACCAACTTCTGCAGGGCCTCCGGGTCGCTGCCATCGTTTACGCCACGCAATGTCTTGTTCGAAGTCTCACAAACACAGCACACACACAGACATTTCAGGGATGGCAGCCTTCGTTCCTTCAGCAAAAAGTCGAACAAACCCGAAGGGGTTAATCCTCAGCAACGGCAGTGTGCGATATGCCTGCGTGCGAGCTGATCTGGGTTGAAGAGTTAGCGATTGCTGCATTGCTGGAGCCACCGCCTACCTACAAAGCTTATATTCCCTCTTGACAGGAAGCCACTCGAATCCGTCCATCCTTTGCTTCGTGAACAGGCCTGCGATGAGCTCAAATAGCAGGGACACCAACGCTAGCCCGAGCGAGTAAGGACCGTCCAAGTAAACCCTTGGCCATTTCGGGGTGGGAATGCTGCAGAAGCTTCAGATGATGCATCCTACAGGCCCGGTGGCGACGCGGCGAAGCGTCTCGCTGTCGTGCAGCAAAGGATAGTTGCTGGCCAAGGGTCACGGACCACGTGAGTTTTGCTGTTGTCCTCTTTGTCGGATCGAGGGTTTCCTCGCGGCACTTCACAGTTCCACTTCCGTCACATCCCTATTTCCCGGCTTTCGGTATGATTTTGCTTGGCAGCCATGCTGCAGCCCAGGCGTCGAAACTACCCCCCTGGCTCTGGCGATCTCACGACTGAAATAAATAAATAGAGGCCGAGCCATCAACAATTACCCTTCAAACATCAGCATCAAAGAGCAATCGTCAATATGGCTGTCTTGTGTTCCGACATTCATGCCTTGCACTGCTTTGCTGTGCAGGCTGAGCGCATGCTGTCTGCGTATTGAGCTCTTAGAGCCTGCACAACGATCGCACACGGTCTCGCATTCAGGGATATCAATATTGGCGGACGTCAGGAAGCATGGTCTCTCCGGCTGCAAGCTCACTCTTTGTCTCCGGTCAGACTATTTACAGTTGATCCGTTCTGTGTGTGTGTGTGTTCTTGTGCATCTGCATCCCTCCACATCTTCCTTGTAGCTTCTTCGTGCTTTCCTTTTTTCCTGCGTTTAATCGTGAGCTAGTGAGCTTCAGTATGGGAGCAGACCTAGCTCGAGACATGAGAGGTCAGTACACTTGCAGAGATTAACTCCTTAGATCTCAAAAAAATTGTGCTTGGTGATTTTTCACTATGTGACTAGGTGCTCTGATGTTAATGGAATGAATATGGAATGAACTTAGTTTCGCAGCTGTCCTGAACTGGCGCCTGCATCAAGAGAGGACTTACCAGCACATACAACTTATGCCCAAATCCTTGCTTCGGTTGGCGTCAGGGTCGGTGCAGCGGCTGTCGGGCCTTCATCGCTGAGCCCCACTACTCACTACTCTCCCTGCACCGCGCTAATTTAGCATGCGCGTTCACACTTCACCAGGAGGAAACAATTCGCTCACCAGGGATCACCTTGCTTTGTTGCATGTTGTTGCTCAGGCATGACCCTTATCGCCCGCAATGTGCTAGCCCTTCCTTCGCCACAACTCCTTTCGAGAACAAGTGTTGCCAGGACAACATGTCCTCCAGCTGAGTTGCCACGAACGCTGCGTGGATTGTGGCAATGGTAGCCATCGCCTGCATAAACGGTGCCCCAGAAGCGAACACGCAAAGAATGGAGAGCAGGCATGTTTTTTATAAGGTACATCTACATGCTGAACGGCCACAGCATCCCATATTGATCATATTGGCCGAGGAACGGCATAGACGTATCTGATGGCAGAGGGAGAACCTGGTGAGAACAATAAGATCCTCGGCCATCTGGACAGATCCCACGATTCCCGTCAAACTTTTCTGCTGTCCTGCGATATTCGAAGCCCATGCTCACGCGACATAACACTGCTGCCTGCGGCCGGGGTGCCGCCCTTCAATAAATGGCGTCAAGAGCATTGCCAGCCCTGCAGCTGCTCGGGTAGTCGGATCGTCTCTCAATGTTTCCTGCAACTTGCAAGCCTGGCCTGTGGCTGTTTGCACCCGAGACAACGCAAGAGCCAGCTCATTGCTGGAGCATACCTGGACACATGCGCGCCAAGACCGCACGGACACGAGGCTTCTTGCACATTGGCTTAAAGGTGCAACGCAGTTTGCACCCAAGCTGCATCTGCTAGGGCTGCATTGCACATCACCGTGTTCGAAAATGTTGTCAAGATCCTGAGCATGAGACGGCGTAGGCACTTGATAAGGAAGAAGACAAAAACATGCACGACTGCACTGTTTCAGCATCTGATTTTGGGTCAAAGCACAATCGAAGGATTCGACAAACAGCAACCAACCATCGCTTCTTCGCATTCTTGAAAACACACCAGCCCAGAAAGATGTTGCCTGGGAGGCCGGCGAAACTCAACGAGTTCAGATCAGTTCAGACTCCCGCGTTCCAACTTCCGTCCAAGAATCTGAGCGGTCCAATCAGAAACCCAGGTTTGCGCCCTGACACGAGAACATCGCCACAGCAGCATCTTCAATAGTCCGATGCGCTGGTACGAGACATGTCACTGGTTTGCATACACCATTCAGGTTTAGCTGCACGAGTTGCCGCAATTTAAATCGACCTGTGACATCTGCATTTAATCGTTCTTGCAGGACATTACCGTTAGGGGTGGCATGGTTAGAGAACATGCACAAAAGGTACAGTACCCGGTGCAAGACAGTGTATCTTCTCATCGTCAGGGTGATTTCGCTGGCTGTGGCCCGAAACAAATGGTGTGACCGCGCCGGGCCCGGCCCTTCCGCGACCTTTTCTCCACAAGATCGGTGTAGCTCTGTTTTAGCTGCATGTCAACTTTATTTTACCCTTGCTTCAGCTTGATTTTGTCGCTTTTATCTTTTCCCCAGGGGAAAGCAAGTTTTTCCCGTGAAAGCTCGTCCCGTCCCTTGACGATCCCAGAGCTGCGAACAAAAATTCTGCCAGGGTCGTCTGCAACAGCTGCCAAAAGAGTGGGAATTGGAAGGCTTCCAGGGTGCTGTGGAGCCGTGCCCGAGAACGCAGGTGCTCATTGTCTCTCGTTCCAGTCTCGGCTCAGCGAAGGTGCAGATCCCATGCTGTGGCATGCAAGCCTTTCTCTATTGAATCGCGCTGAACTGAAGCTCTTCCTTCAACTTTCCCCGGCTGAATGCACTTGTAATTGGCATGAGGCAGTTGAGAACTCTCGAATGCAGCGCCTATGCGATCCGAAAGCTTGCCACCAGCTTGGTTGACCTCAGCATCAGGTTGCCTACAGCTGTTGCCGCGGGGAGCTTCAGTCGCGTTCTACCTGGGGAACAGGCAATCAGGCTCAGCAAACCCACAATGCCAGAGGTGTTGCCAAGAAGTCGTGTCGCTGCAGCTGCATCCTATCGACTCCGAGGCTCTGAAGTATTCAGCTCGCGTCATGTGACGATTCGGTGGTTCCTGGTTGCACAGACTGAGGAAAAGCCGCGGCTCAGACTGCGCAAAGATGAAATGCTGAGACACCTCGGCACCAAGCTTCCGCTTCCATCTGAGGTCCCTCACAAGACTCACGCAGGCCGGGCGAGTGGCACTGAAGAAGGACGATACGCATATCCTCAAGGCCCAGGCCCAAGGCTTATGCCGGCTCTGCACAAGACAGGCAAAGATCGGCCTTGTCACCAACTGCTTTCGTCGACTCTCGGCCTTGCCCAGACATCCTCTGAAGAGAACTGCCCCATTGGGCTATGCATTCCGCAGTTCAGTGCACCCGAAGCCTCTTCATGCGCTTCTTGTTTCGAGGCCGTGCCCATTGCTGTTCTGCAACTCTGCTTGAGCAGCCGCTCTGCAACACAGAAGAAGCAGAGTTTATCAAGGTCGCACCTGGAGCCCTAAGATCGGCCAAAGAAATCCGGATGAGGGGGCATGTCAATACTTTTACAATGCAAGCTTGGGGCAGCTGGGACTTCTGGTTGCCGAAGGCTTCGAGTCGCATACACAATCGGGCTGCATCGGCAAGGGGTGGACGAGTTTTCTTTCTGGCGCAAAAGGGGGTCGCATGCACGCAGCCAGGGGCAAAAGCCAAGAAGTATACCTGGAGAACCTGCGGGAAAATACATTAATTAGCAGAATCGGCTCCTGTCTGAGACCGGCTGTGCAAAACAAATGAGGCAGCAATCCATTACAGATATTCGGCCACTAATTTCTCGGAGATGTTCCACAGTTTCTCTTCAAGCTCCTCTGTGGAAAACTTTGGAGGGTTGGCATGTATGGCCTGATTGCGGAAATACCTCAGCAAATGGATCAAAAGGCACTGGAAAGGGTTGAAGACAAGTTGTGAACCTGGGGTCCCTGCTGTCCACGAATACCTTTCTCTTCAATGTCCGGCGAGCTTGCTAAGTAGAGCTGAGTTACGGCACCTGCCGGCAATTCAAGCACAAGGTGATGTCACTTGTGATGCCGATGCGTACCAGCAGCAGAAGCAGCGGCAGTGTCAGCAAGACGCCTCGCGGCGGCGTCAACATGACCAGCTGCATGAGTTCATCCATGTAGTATCTCCTTACTGAAGAGGCGCAAGATTTGCATCGACGAGAAATACACATTGCGAGTAGAACTGAGGAGGGGAGCTGATCGGCAAAGCGCTTCAAGTTTCTAGCCGGATATGAGGACCCATCACAGTTGCAGAAAGTCAGCAGTTTGGGACCCTGCGAAGGCTAAGCACACATAGTGCACGAGCCATCGGTCCGTGATACGGCCTGTGGTGCACACTGCACTTGTCCGACGAGCGTCCAGCCCTTACCCATACTGTCCTCTGTGGACTTCTGAACCTTCGGCACAGGACTCGGCAAAAGCAGCTCACCAGGCCGGGTTTTGCAAATGGAAAGTTTGCACAAGCTGGCATACAAAGGTGCTGAAATACTTCCATCGAATGTTCTCGTCGAGTGGCGTGCTTGGGGAGGTTTGTCATGATGCCGCCGGGGTGGCAACTGTTGGCAAAAATACTTTTGTCTGAAAGTCGACGGGCCAGCGCGCGAGTGAAGAGGACGTTTGCAAGCTTGGAACGAGCGTATGCCTTGAACGGGTGATAGTCAGCCTCAGCTGTGCGACACGTCAACTGCACCGGTTTGACAACAAGAACCAGGAATGGCAGCGACTGCACCGCGCAGAATGGCGAAACTGCTTCGCGAGCGGCTTCGTAGTCCTGGCCCAGCTTGTCAAAGTCCGCCGCAGGAGCTGCATCAAGCAAGCCAAACCTTGACTTCCCCAGCGTGTCATGCCTGCAGCTGATGCCTGCTGTCGAACCTCTGTTTGCATCAGCTGGGGCATGCCACCCAATCACCAGCCACATGCACATTTGGACCCGCTTGCGCCATCCTCCCTCTTTTAAAGCGCTTTGGAAATCTATTGTAGCCATGCTGGCAATATGAAACAGGACACAGTGAAGACAGAGTAAGATATCGCCAAATCTGGAGGTTTGTTGATTGACCCCTCGGCAAAGCACATGTGGGTAGAACCTTCAACCTTCAGTCACAAAATGATTTCGCTGTCATCGAAGGCAGCAGAGCTCGGGGAGTCTTTGCTGTCTTTTCAGCTAAACCGTTAGCCAATTACTCGAATGGCCCAATTTGAGCATATGGCTTCTACGTGTCCTCACAGACAATAAGCACGCCACACCTCGCCATCCACCGATGCAAGTGAGGTTCGATCAGATTTTAGCTGATTTGGTCCATGTAGCATTTCCAATTTGGCCATCATCTCTGGAAAGTGGGCTGCGGCAGAGGTGACAGTCACGACACGCGCTGGTGCAGATGCCTGCCATCGGCAGAGCTGAGAGCAAGCGCACCTGCACTGGAAAGCCTGCGAACGCAAGAATTATTCCGGGACTATGACCTCCAGTTCTGGCAGCAGCAGTTTGGTCAACAGAAAATGCCCCAAATGATTTGTGGCGAACTGGCTCTCCAACTTGTCGACCGTCAAAGAGAATGGATTCGCCATTATCCCAGCGTTGTTCATGAGGATGTGCCTCAGGCATCGAACCAGCTTTGCCGCCTTGACTGCCGAATCACTGATGTCAAGCCCGAAAGCTGAAGCGAGTCCCGAACCTGTTTCTCGGAGATTTACACAGGAGACATAATCGCTTGACAAATCTCACGCGCAGATCGGGCCAGTAAGACTGAGCTCTGCGTTTGTTTGCGGCTCACGTCTGGTGGTGTTCATTTTCTCATCCTTGTCGATTTCATCACACACGGGAGTGCCGCTGTTGTCTTGCCTCTCTGGACAGTCTCCCCCCATTTCCACTCTGGGCTTTGTGCTGCTGCTGTTTCTCAAACGTGTACAGGACGGGATACGGGGGGAAAGCGGGGACAGAAGAGAGTCGGGCCTCAGCCTGAGCTTCCGGACCCTGCAAGTCTCTGATTGAAAGAGGGACAGAAAAGACGCATTTTGGCTTTTTTTACTGTCAGGAAATACGGCTGCTGAGTACGTAAACGATGCTGCACTGTTAAGGGCCGTCTTGGTGCTTGGTGTCTTGACAGCCTGCTGGTTGTGTGCGGAATTATTCGGAGGTGACATCAAATACCATTCCATGCGCCATGCTTCAATGTCTGTTCTTGCGGTTCTCGCGTGCGGCCGGTGCCGGGAGATGTTCCAGCAGAACCCAAGAAGGCTGCGCAGGACTGGCCTTTGTGCCTTCGAGCTGCAAAGGCAAGCGCTTCGCCTTGAAATTCATCGCAAACTCTTTCACTTGCTTGAGGCTGCTCAGGTCTAGCTTCATGAAGTCGGCCTGACACGAAGCCATGAATCCCCCGACTTCCGGCTACAGCCTCCCTGGACAGGAATTGGACAAGGGATATCTTTTGCTTGCCATTGATTCCATGCGCTCTTCCCTGAAGCCTTGGCATCGGGCACCCTCCGAAGCAGCTCCTTCAAGGCCTCTTGGCCCTTGCTCTCACTTCGTCCTGCGAGAATGACCTGCCAAGGAGCTGCCACATGCAAAAAAGGGCAGAGCATTGCAGAGCCCAGCCCCTAGCAGGAAGCGCCTTCTAGCACAAGATTTTCAAAGGATGAAATCTAGAGCTAGACTCTGCCTGCGCCCCCTTCCTGGACATCTCGACTGCGGACTCAAAGCCAATCCCATTGACCTTTCTGGTGTTTTACTGCGTTTGGTCTCTGGCTCCCCACTGTTCATGACGTGACGTGTGAATCAGCTTAGTTGCTGTGGGCCCGGTCACGATTGCCACTTTGCCCGATAAATCTGGAATGTCAGTCACATCCCATGTAGTAAACAGGTCCCAGAACTTGCCGTCAAAGGCAGCGCTCCTGTAAATCCGGAGCTAGGGAAAATGCCGGTCAAGCAGTATTCTTATGCAAGTTCGATGGACCGATGGACCTGGTTGGCAAGGCCTTGTGCATGGATTAGGCCAGCCAAGAGTCAATCCTATTGGGGCCAGCACCGCTATCACCGGGACCAAAACCGCACACAGCCGCAAGTATCCCATGGCTCCAAAGCCCTCGGATGAGCTCAAAATGCATAGGCCGTGACTGGATCCCAAAAACCAGCGGGAACACACATCTTGCAAAAGGTGTTTTATTTTGCGCCTGTTCAAGCTGCTTGCGGTGAGGAAGCACTGATCAAGCACAATATCTTTTCTTTGCCTTGCCGGCTGTCTCAAGATCTCTCACGGCGGTGACTCGATGTTTGTGAGCAATGACCTCGGCGACTGGCATGGCATCGCACGCGGGAGCGCAAGGCCGCGAGTGTGCCCCAACTGCAAACGTCCAGCCTCATGAACTTGGCGCGAGTTCTGTAGCTATGAAAGTCTGGACGGGCATGAAGGGACCTGAGAGCGCGCGAGTGAGTGGCAGCTCAGAGAAACACAGGATGCTCGCATCTTCGCATCTTAAGGAGTTCGCTCCCATCGCGGCTTCTTGGGATCGCTTGCTCGAATTGGCCTTGTGAGGAGTTCTGCCGCCGTGATGTCTGCAGATGGAAGATTCGCTGAGGGTCCAACTTGAAATCCCCAATGCCGCCCCACAGCGCTAGCAGGGATCCAACAACGACTTCTACGAAAACCTCACCGCAAGAATCGCAACTCCAGGCCGACATGAATGATAAAGACACGCAGGCAGTATTCGCACACATGAAGTACCCGGGAGCATGACTGTAATTTCATCACTCGCCCAAAGTTTGCCCAGCACAGGTGCAATATGCTGCATTCTATCACTCGCCAATCTTACACCTCTGGTGGAACATGCCGAGATTGAGTGTCCACAACTCCAACCGGTTCGCGGGTCTCACTTCATCCTTGCGATCGAACCGTTGGGACGAGTTCTCCGAACCCTAAGTCCTACCAGTAGCTCCTAGATAGCAGGATCGCTGTCTTTAAGGACCAGCAAGCCGGGACCCTAAACACTAAACCCTCAACCCCAAACCTTAAACCCTCAACTCTAAACCCTAAACCCTTTTTCACAAGGGACTCGACTGCTGCCCTTACTTCTCATGCCTCGCAACATTGAGCTAAGCATCTGGAACCCTAAACCCTTTTGCATCCAGGCCTATTGCGACTGCCGGGTACCCTGAAGAAAAAGGCCAGGCAAAGCTGCAGCACCATTGACTGCAACAATCACCCAAGCACACAAGACATACAACCTTAAACCCTAAACCTGTCCTCGAATTGGCCTCTGAGGAACAGCATTTCGACTCACACACTCGCACAACGGCAGGCATGGCAAGTTGGTCCGAGCTTGCTACATGCACATCGACAACGGGAAAAGTATGCACAGTAAACAATGACCCTCGTGACCAGTAACCACAAGAGCCATAAAAGACAATAGTTATGAGTATCAGGCTATTCCGGTCGTCACGCCCCTGATGTCGTCAGCAATGCAACACATGGCATCGCTTTCGCTACAAGCCTAGTACCTCTGTGTCAAAAGAACCACTCATAGTCCATCTGGTGTCACTAGCAGCCGCATTTCTGCCTATCATAAAGGAACAGCATTTTTCGGACAGTGCAGCACTTATGAGGTCCCAGGATTCTGAAGTGCTGCACCGTCCCCAAATTTTGGCCTCTGGAGAAGCAGAAACTAGGGGCAGTACAGCACTTTGAAAGCTCCAATGCTGTAATGTGCTGTGCTGTCCCTAAGATTTTGGCTTCTGCAGGAGCAGCATTTAGGGACATCACATCAGTTTTGAGGTCCTAGTGCTTTATCTAAACTGCTGAACCCCCCAAAGTTTGGCTTCCCCTAGCCAAAAGTGCCGTACCGTCCGGAGCCTGCAGGTCTCTGGAGAATAGGCTTTTTAGGGCCTTTCGGGACAGTGCGGCACTTTTGGCTTCCACACCTCCAAATTCAGGGACAGCACAGCACTTTTGAGATCTTTTGAGGTCCCACGGCTCTGAAGTGTTGTACCATGTTTAAGCTTGTTCGCGAGATCTGCCCTGTGCTCGAAGAGGCGAAACCTGCCCCTGTCCACCAGGGCTCTCTTCAGCATGCTTTGCTGAATAGTGGTCGGTAGTCCAGAACAAAGTCTAGACACCTACCGACGCACGTTTCCCAAACATAGTCATGGTCCTGGTGCACCTCGCTTGGATGCACGAGTGCATGGAAAGCGCTCTGCTCGGCCGACCAGGGAACGAGCAGCACAGAACACCGGTGCCCCTTTGGCCGTGACTTGGGGCCCCTGCCCCCACACCAGCCGGCCTGCCCCGACACCAGCCGGCCTGCCCCGACTTCTTCTCTAGCGCCCTCACCACCCAATCATCCCTTCCTCCTCTACCTCCTCTGGCAGATCCCCGTTTTCAGTTTCGAGCTTCAGATTCTGGGGTGTGGTTTCCTTTCCGGGGTTGGTGGAAGCTGCGTCAGCCCTTACTGGGCAAGGCCCACATTGACCGCAAGCCGTTGTCGTTCGCGATGAACTACCAACCTGCATTCCTTCGCAGAAATTGTGGGGAGGACTGATCCAGGTGACCTCCATATGGCGAGGCATGGTTTTGTAATTACAGTGGAAGCTCTACAGTACAAAACGGTGAAGCACTGCGTGCCTGGAAAGTGACTCCTGTCACATCTTCGTGGAATCCTTCTGCCTCTTCCATGGCTGCATGTTTTTCTGCCTGCAATGTGTCACTGTCCGTGCACGTGTTCTCTGCAGCGAGATTGCAAACTCAGCTTCCAGCCGTGATCATATTGCCAGCATGGATCACGATGGCGGTCCCGACCTGCCACAGTGCCAAACTGTTCTTATTCAGAAAACTAACCTATAGAAAACTGTCACAGTAGTGGAGGGTGCTTGCATCGGCTGTCCCCCTTCTGCGGCCCCTGCCACGACCATCCAAAGTTTGACCGCCATGACACCGTGCGTGTCAGACACGCATGCTTGGGCCACTCAAGCTTAGGCAGAAGTACATTCGGTGGCTTACGCCAGAGAGAGAGAGAGAGAGAGAGAGAGAGAGAGAGAGAGAGAGAGAGAAAGCCGGCGTCCAGAATATGCACAAGTGCTAGGGCAAGGCCTCTGCAGCAACGGCTTTGATCCACGTTGATGTTCGTCATTAGACACACTTGCTTTAAAGACGCTGTGTGAAACTCACCCGGATTGAAACAGAAGTCTATCGGGTCAGCGATGGAAGTGCAGCAACGTCTGAAGCCGACATCAGCATCTTACCTACGGAACAGCCGCATCCCCCGCGCTCTCTAGAAACACTCAAGTGTCCAAAGTGCACATCATCGCAGATGTTCGGAGTGCTCGCCGGAACCTTTCTAATCAGTTCGACCCACGCATCAGACTTCGCCGTGCAACTAATGGAGGTTTGAGCAGAAGTTTACAGAAGATCTACCCTTGGCGTAGATACCATGACGTCTGGTGCGCGTGCCTTGCGTGAGACTGGCTGCAGAATACCCAATGCACAGCGCCAAAAACGGACATGTGTACCTTCTGCATAGGCATAACCTACGCTGAACTACTTGCAGGCGCTACGTGTATTGAGGCCGATGGTCGCGACCGGCATGGCTTGCTGCATGCCTTCGCGGCTTCGCGAGTGAATGGATCCGGGAAGCAGGGCTCCACATGACCACATGGTGCCTGCATCGAGGCAACAGTGTTTCAGCAAGCCAAGCATGTTACCCACATGCCGGGGAAGCAAATCTGTAAAACGGCATCAGCAAGACAAGCCAAGGTGCCGCACGTGCTAGAAAGCGGGAATGGTCCTGCGGATGTTAATTGGTCTTCGAGTTTGGCAAACAAGACTTCGACTGGCAGCATAGAAGCAGGCAACTGAAGCTAGGCGCTCTTAACTTTTCGTCGCCAGGATTGGGTTGCAAACCTTGGTCGTCTGCAGGTGCAGCTCCCGCTGCTTCCGCTGCATGGTTATCATCCCAACAAACATCGTCTGGCCGCTGAATCTCTGCAGTTTCGCGATGAAGGAACTGCAAGGCCTGGACTTACATCAAAATCCCCGTGCATTGGCTGCATCGGATAGCAGCATATACCCTTCAGTCACGTCAACATGGCACCACCCTCTCTCCCTCTCGGAACGGTTCCTGGCACAAGCACCGCTACCTGTCACTGCAAACGAGCGTGTACGTCAAATCTTGAATTCACAGCCTCTGTATCGCCAAGCTCGGACAGGATCGGGAATAGTTCGTCTGCGACTCGTGCATGATATGCCTCTAGCATGCAGTATAGGTTTCTGATTCCTGACTGCTTCACCCAAGATGAACCCTTTCCCGAGCTCTCTGGTGTGACTGACACTGTCACGATGGGCAAAGCACGTTGAGGTAGGAGAGTTCTGCGTTTGAGAGCAAAGATGCGTCGACGAGATTTCTCCTCAGCTGAAAACGGTGCGAAATGCAACCAACGTGTCCATCCACCTCCTACAATTCCGGCCTCATCATATCTTCTTCGAGGTCTCTTGAACGACTGAAATTGAATTCTACAACTACCTCAACTACTGCTGTGCGCATGCAAACATCGTGCATGTCAAGCCCATGGATGGTTTTCTGGCGCTCGCATGAGCTATGACGTTTTTACGGCGGCCTTTCGAAAACCCGCTTTAATCTGTGCGCCGCCACATTCAGAGGTGCCTTTGCATCAGAGAAACACTGTCTTGGGCCGTGCGCCAATGGAGTCCTATACAGTAGGCCAAAAAACTCGCAGAAGTTGTAGTTGCGCTGGTAGTGGCGGCACTCTTGGGAACACTTGTGCACGTGCTGCTGCTGATTCTGGAAATTGTCGCGCCTGGTGAAAGTAGTAGTAGTCGTCGTCGTCG